GGCACGCAATAGAGAATACGAGTATAGAAAGTAGACAGGATGTAATTACATATAAAGATATTCTCATTATGGAGGGAGGTATATTAAAATTAAAACCTGTGAATGTGTTGAAAGAGGAGAAAATAACTCAAACATGGTTTCAATATGTACAATTACAAGCCAGATGGAGAAAAGACCAGAAAACTGGTGTTATACAAAGTGATGAAAATTTAATTAAACAAATTAGAGACCAAAGCCCAATGCACATAAAAAGATTGTATAATATATTGATAGAGATGGACTCGGAAACAGAGTTAGTTAAGGACTGTATGATAAAATGGGTGCAGAATTTTGAACAGCCAATAATGATGGAAACGTGGGAAAAAATATGGGTGACAAATGTGAAATTTACCAAAGCGCAAAATTTAAGGGAGAACTTTTATAAAATGTTTTATAGATGGCATCTAGACCCAAAAAAGTTATCTCGTATGTATCCGAATGTACAACCAAAATGTTGGAGATGTAATTGTGAGGATGCCACTTATTTTCACATTTGGTGGACATGTAAAAAGGTTAAAGCGTTTTGGATTAAAATCTGGTGGATTTTACAAAATATTCTTAAAAAGAGGTTGAAATTTACACCACAGCTGTTTCTGCTGGGTATAGTTACGGATTGTACAGTTATAGAGACTAAATTGATTTTGAACTTAATAACTGCAGCAAGACTGTTGGTGGCACAATATTGGAAGAAGCAAGATTTACCTACTATCCAAGAGTGGACAATGAAAGTTACAAACCTAGCGGAAATGGCAAAAATCTCGGCGTACTTGAAGGATCATTCAAATGAAAGATATTTAAGAGACTGGAGAAGATGGATAGATTATATTCAAAATAAATACTGGAATAAGAAATTGCAGATAGGTTATGAATGATTATATAGATATTTGGTGTGTCTTTAAGTAATAAAGCTAGGCGGGTAATTAGGGAATTGAAGGAACAAGAGATGTGGAATGTCATAATTGTTTAGACTAGGATTGATTATGATTGTTGAAGGTTATACCCTGTAATTTGTTCTAGGAAGAGGAGGGGGGAGGGGGGAGGTTGAGATAGGGAAGGGGGGGGGAAATATGTAAACTTTTTGTAAAACTTTTCAATAATAAAAAAACAAAAAACAAAAATACGAGTGTGAAAAGTACTATCAAGTGTATTGATGACAAAGAATAATGTGCACAAAACTCAATATTCTGTATGCGCACAGACACAAGGAACAACCATTTGTGTAACAGATGAATGAGATGAATAGTAGATTTTATTTTCTCAATGGCTTGCTGAATAAGGTTTGGCTGTTTAAAAGAGAATATTATCAAATGTGAAAGTATAGAAGAGTCTATTTTTTCATCTATTTTTAAATAAAATAAACACCTGATTTGAAAAATATGGATGCCTGCTGAGATGTTTGTATTTAAAAACCCTTTACAAAATAGAAAATGAGCACCATCAGTTGCCCATTGAATCAAAATTATATTTTGTTCACTGATGATGGAATTTTCACCTTAAAGAAAGATATGAGAACATGATCCTCTTTTTAGTTATTGAAATCAGTGCAAAAAGAACATTGATAGCTAACCCAATGCTTATAAGCTACACAGTTCCAATTCCAGTTTGGCAGCTGGTGGACCAACTCTCCTCAAAAATGAACATTAGGAAAGAAACTTCCTGTGTTACTTTTTTCAAGAGGCAACTGGACTTTCTGGTTTTTCTTTGAAGATGTTTTGCTTCTCATCCAAGAGCTCTGGCTGGATGGTGGAGAATGGAAGGATTGATACTCCTTGCAGACAGCTGGTCATTTGCACCTTTTAGTGAGTCATTGAGGCCTGCATCTGAAACTTGAAGTGCAAATGTTTCCTGTAGTCTGCAATTTTTCTGGAAATCCATTCATACTCCCGCACCATTCGAAGGGTATTCATCTTCATCTAAGACATTTAGCTATGCATTTTGGGATAAACGCCCTTCAAATCTATAGTGTTGCATTCATCATCAGCACAACCATTTTTGAAAAGACAAAGAAAGACCAAAAAATGAACTATGAATATCAGGTGTTCATAACCGATTAGCTCATTCACATTAACACATTTAGCTTATTTATGGTACTTCTTTTGGGGAGTTAATGTTATGTTTCTCAATCTTAGCAACTTTAAGAAATGTGGACTTCAACTCTTAGAATTCCCCAGTCTTTGAGAACTGAATTTCACATATTTTACACTTGCTAAGGTTAAGACATTATAACATGTTCTGATTATTTGCCATTAATTGATTTCTAAATCTTCAAGTCTTCAAATTCAGAAGGCATATATTAGATTTCAGCCCAATTGCTGTAAGTTGATTCAGAATGATAAAGGGTGAACTCTGAAAATAATTCACAATCCCATTTTTATATAGGGAATGGAAGAGATTTCAGAAGAAACTTGATAACTAGAGCAAATATCTGTTTTTTTAATATACTTAGAAATTCTTTTCCATGTTAGGACGTTTTAGTACAGTTGAGTTTCTTGGCCTGTCAGCTGAAAACAACTACTATTTTTGGAAAAATATTATTTTATTTATTACCAAGAATAAGAGCTTTTCTGAGGGATGGAGCTCAGTAAAGTATTGTTTAATATTTTCAAAAAGTATTAAAGAGGCTGTTATTTTTTTATTTATGGCATGGAATAAATGTGATAGATTTATATTCTGAAATGTTTTTGAAGTTTAGAGGGCTAAAGTATGTGGTTAAAATACAATTATCAAGAATATTTATGGATTTTATAACTTCACGGGATTCACACACACAATATAAAATGATATTTGTGCTGGGTGAGTAACCTCAGATGAACATTTTGGGACCTCTCGGGTGGCATAAAAGACATTTTTCATTGTTTTTCTACAACTGTATGGCAGTCTGTTCTAAAACAGAGGACAATATAGAAAACCAAGTTGCTGCATTCTCTGTTTAAATGAATAGGTGAATTGGTTCTGGAGAAAAGAGCAATGTATAAATTCACATATAAATTCTCAACTTCAAAGGTAGGAAATAGCAATAACAATAGCAATAGAATTTAGGCTTATATACTATTTCATAGTCCTTTACAGCCCTCTATAAGCAGTTTACAGAGTCAGCATATTGCCCCCAGTGATCCTCATTTGGGGCCCTCATTTTACCGACCTTGGAAGGATGGAAGATTGAGTCAACCTTGAGCCATTCAGAATCAAACTCCTGGAATGAGCAGTGAGTATTGAGTTTGCCTGCAGTACTGCATTCTAACCCCTGCACCACCACGGCTTATAGTGAAAGGTAGTGAAGGAACCATATTGCTTTCACTGCCTTACATTAATCAGGTATCTGTTGTGAAATAATATACTTCAAGATTTATATATCCAAATCAGGAAATCCAGGGCCAAGGATTAGACAGGGGAATTAAAAACAAATATTGGAAGAAGACAATGGCAAAATATTTCTGATTTCTTGCTAGGAAGACTACAGATGTCTCCATCAAAAACCGAGCTGATCATTTTATTATCTATATGTCTATTTATAGGGGTGTATTTATTTTAAAAATGCCTTCCTATGCTTTTTAAAACTGATTTTACATGAGAAGTATTTCAGCGAGAGTGCTTCTTTTTCTATTCAGAGTACATTGGTTGTTAAAATGTTCGAAAGATACAACACAATGTTTGCTTTTGGAAAGTGCAGTTTCTATGGGCTAATGGAGCTGGTCCTGCACTGGGAAAAAACATACATGGCAAGCCAAACAGATAATAGACACTGGGGTATGCCAATGTGCCACTGTTTTCGCGGGTGTTTGTATGTAGGTCTTTGGTTATTCGGGTCTTCTCCCACGTAAAATTGGAAGTGTCTTGGCGACGTTTTGACAAAGTCTCATTCGTCATCTTCAGGCTGGTGTTCTCGGCTTCGTGCTTCCAGGAGCAATATATATATATATATATATATATATATATATACATACATATATATATATATATATATATATATATATATATTATATATATATACATACATAATACATATACATATACATATACATATACATATACATATACATATACATATACATATACATATACATATACATATATATATATATATATATATATTATTTTCAAAGCAGAAAGGATGAAGGCCTTGAAAAAATTACAGTGGGATTATACAGGCTTCATTTTCATTTCATACAGGCGACATCATTTTCAGGGACACAATGGCTCAGCAGTTAAAGACGCTAGGGTTATCTGCTGGAAAATCAACAGCCCAGGTTCAAGACCTGAGTGCCATGTGACAGGGTGAACTTCCATTATTCCTGCCCATCTAGAAATTTGAAAGCATACAAATGAGAGTGGATACCTTCGGTGAGAAGGTAACAGCATATACATATGCCTCGGTGTATAGTCATGCTGGCCACATGACCACGGAAGTGTCTTCGGACAACTGGCTCTCAAAGTTAAGAAACAGAGTTGGACACGACTGGACAAGGGAAACCTTTACCTTTATACATCACACTCAGTAGCATGGGAAAGCAAGAGACTAATTTGACTACATTCAATTTAAGTTAATAATTTCATTTTATTCATATTAAGTAATAATTGGGAACCTGCAACTTTCAAGACAAGCCAAAACACTGAGCTTCTCCTTGACTATGGAGCTTCTAGAAGCATAGTACAGCAGCATTTAGAAACATGGGCGAAGGGGGAAATGTTCAAGAATTAAGGAACTGCATCTTAGCCTCCCAAATCTCTAAAAGGGATCAGGAAATAAAGCCATTACATCATTCTAATGTGTTGCATGAACCCTGTTCACAGTTTAGGATGAATTTTTTAACCAAATATTTAACCTCAAATTGTGTCTTCAACAAACTATGTTTTTATCCAGACTAAAATAAGGGGCATATATGCTATTGCTTGTGCAACCCATTCAGATAGATTACTATGAGAATGCATATGACCATATATAGACTTGGGACAATACTTACCGTACAATGAAAGCTGCAATAGTAGCTGGCTAGGGAATTCTGGAAATTGAACTCCAGCCATCTTAAAGGTGTTGAGGTTGACACACTGAACAAGAAGAATGTAAGAAAAATTCTTTGAATTATTACAAAGTAATGATTTAGACTAGCATATTATCATCATAGAATCTAAATGCATGCTTGTAAAATACCATCTATTCAATTATGAATAAAATAATCCCTTCCTTACATTCATTTCATCTACCATTTTATTTCTCACATAGTCCAGACTGATGCTTCTAAAAAACTGCATGAAGATCCTAGGAATAACAATTTTTCCTCCAGACGTTTGCACCAAATAGCATCATGGATTAAATAGCTAAAATAGCAATAGCAATAGCAGACTTATATGCCACTTCATAGAATAGAATAGAATAGAATAGAATAGAATAGAATAGAATAGAATAGAATAGAATAGAATAGAATAGAATAGAATAGAATAGAATTCTTTATTGGCCAAGTGTGATTAAACACACAAGGAATTTGTCTTGGTGCATATGCTCTCAGTGTACATAAAAGAAAAGATACATTCGTCAAGAATCATAAGGTACAACACTTAATGATAGTCATAGGGTACAAATAAGCAATCAAATCATATTAGGAAACAGTCAATATAAATTGTAAGGTTACCAGCAACAAGGTTACAGTAATACAGTCATAAGTGGGAGGAGATGGGTGATAGTGCTTTACAGCACTCTAAGTGATTTACAGAGTCAGCATATAGCCTCCAACAATCTGGGTCTTCATTTTACCAACCTCGAAAGGATGGAAGGCTGAGTCAACCATACAGATAGTCTATTTAGTCCAACATCTTGCTCATTTAAAACAGCCCAGACAGAAGGATGTTTAGCTATCTCCTAAATATATCCAATACAGAGAAACTGATCAGCTCTCTGGTAGTTGATTCCACTGTTGAAATGTTCTATTAGAAAGTATTTTCTAATGTTCAGTCAGAGTGTCTTCCTCTAGATCAAATCCATTGTTCTGTTATCTTGCCCTTATAAAGAAGTCTTGACCTTCTTCTGTGTCACATGAGGTATTTGAAAAATGTTCTTATCGCCCCATCAACCATCTGTTCTCAAAGCTAAATATACCCAATTCCTTCAATCACTGTACATAGGACTTAGTTTAGTCCCTGATCATCCTCACTGTCCTTTTCTAAACCTATTCTAATTGTCCTGAATCCTTCTTAGTATGATAAGAACTGGAAATTGAAGAAGGGATCTCATCTTCTTCAGGATAAAGAACAATTATTTTCTACAATAAAAAAATTATAATTTTTTTGAGGCATCCTAAAGATTAAACATTAATGAATTCACAAATAAATGAGGGATGAAAGTTCAAATTATAATATCCAAGATTTTGTTTTTTAGCAAATTTTTAATCTGCATTAAAAAGAGTCTTGTGTAATTCTGTCTTTCTTCTTTGAGCCCTACAGTGAGGAGATTGAAATCTCTCTCTCTCTTCCACTCTCTCTTTCTTCCTATATATAGCGTCTCTGTCTATATATTAATTTAAATATGAATATAAATTAAAAGGATCTATGAAAGTTAGATGTCATGTCTTGCCCACATAATATAAAGGCCAATACAATCAGGTGCAATAGATTTAATTGCTAAACTATCCTTAAGCATGCCACAGCTTCTTGTAATATATACTTCCAAATTTATAATCTTTGTAACATCAATGAATGGCTTTTGATTATATATCTCAATAAATAACAACACTCTCAAAGATGCTGATTATAGAGATGCAGCATCAAACTATTAGAATAACCATCAGCATATTTGTATTTACATTGTTCAAAGGCTAAATAACCTGAATTACAAAGTATACATATACATTATTATAGACAAGGAATTGTTTACAACTGATATGAGATACTGATACGGTACAAAGGAATTTCTGTGCTTTTGTGGAAGACACAAAGGAATCCAGATTCCTTTGTATCTGTACCCTATCAACACCCCATATCAATTGTAAACAATTCCTTATCCATAATAATGTATATCAGGGGTGAAATCCAGCAGGTTCTAACAGGTTCTGCAGAACCGGTAGCGGAAATTTTGAGTAATTTGGAGAAGCGGCAAATACCATCTCTGGCTGGCCCCAGAGTGGGGTGGCAATGGAGATTTTGCAGTATCCTTCCCCTGGAGTGGGGTGGGAATGGAGATTTTGCAGTATCCTTCCCCTGCAACACCCACCAAGTCACACCCACCAAACGACACCATGCCCACCAAGCCACGCCCACAGAACTGGTAGTAAAATAATTTGAATTTCACCACTGATGTATATGTATACCAATAGTGGGTTCCACTTACCTTCGCTACCAGTTTGGAACTGGGAGCGTGCACATGCGCATAACCTTCTGCGCATGCACAGAGCATTCATGATGACATCCGGATGGGTGGGCAGAGCCTCCAGCCACCACCACTACCGGTGTGCCCAAACTGAGGTAAACTGGTAGAAACCCATCACTGATGTGTACTTATCTTCAATTTTTTAATCTTATAAAAGAACTCTGTTGCTTAATCTTTGTCTGTTATTTGATCTTGATAGCAAGAAACCAGTGATGCACTGTAAATTGCTAGATTCAGTAAAATTATGGTTAGTATTTTTAGGTGAGTTTTTCTACCACAGTACAAAGGCAAATTTCTCTTGTCCTATATTTGTGCATTTGAATAATTTTACATTTGATTTTGTTGCTCTCAGCCCATGTCCCACAGATATTAGGAGCCAGGTAAATTGCTCCTTTTAGTGGTTATGTTATGATACTTGGTACTATTTTATATTTTGGATTTTATATTTATTTATTTATTATATATATATTTAATATTATATGGTTTAGGTTTGTTGGTTTGGTTTTGGTTTACTGTTCGTTTGTTGCACTGTACACTACCCAGAGTCACATTATTTGAGCTGGATAGTCTTATAAATCTAGTTAATATTATTATTATTATTATTATTATTATTATCATCATCATCATCATCATCATCATCATCATCATCATCATCATTTATTAGATTTGTATACCGCCCTACTCCTGAAGGACTCAGGGCGGTCAACAGGCACAAAATAAAACACATAAATACAAAAGTTAAAAAACATAATTAAAACCAAATTAAATAATTTCACCCAAGACAATTAAAGTTCCCAATAATTTAAAAAACAAATTGGAGCCTCTGGGTGCTCCTTAAGGGGAGCCCATGTAGAGAGCATTACAATAGTCCAGGCGGGAGGTGACGAGGGCATGAGTGACTGTGTGTAGGGAGTCCTGATCCAGAAAGGGACGCAACTGGCGAATCAGGCGAACCTGATAAAAGATCCTCCTGGTCACAGCCGTCAAGTGCTCTTCTAAAGACAGCCGTGAGTCCAGGAGGATGCCCAAGTTGCGAGCCCTCTCCGTGGGGGCCAGCGATTCGCCCCCAATAGTCAGCGATGGCGTCAACTGACTATATTGGGACGTCGGAAACCACAGCCACTCGGTCTTGGATGGTTTGAGCCTGAGCCTGTTCCTCCCCATCCAGATCCACACGGCCTCCAGACACCGGGACATCACTTCAAGGGCATCGTTGGGGTGGTCCGGGGTGGAGATGTACAGCTGGGTGTCATCAGCATACTGGTGGTACTTCACCCTGAAACCACGGATGATCTCGCCCAGCGGCTTTACATAAATGTTGAACAAAAGGGGCAAGAGGACCGACCCTTGTGGCACCCCACATATGAGGGGCCTCGGGGTTGACCTCTGCCCCCCTGCCAACACAGACTGCAACCGGCCGGAGAGAAAGGAGGAGAACCACCATAGTACAGTGCCCCCCACCCCTAACTCTTCCAACCGGTGCAGCATGATACCATGGTCAATGGTATCAAAAGCCGCTGAGAGGTCTAACAGGACCATGACAGAGGAGCACCCCCTGTCCTGAGCCCTCCAGAGATCATCTACCAACGCGACCAATGCCGTTTCCATGCTGTACCCGGGCCTGAAGCCCGACTGGAATGGATCCAGATATGTCGTTTCATCCAGGTGCTGCTGAAGCTGTTGCGCAACCACACTCTCGACAACCTTCACCACAAAACGAAGGTTGGAGACCGGACAATAATTAACCAACATTGCTGGGTCCAGGGAAGGCTTCTTGAGGAGAGGCCTCACCACCGCCTCTTTCAAGGCGGCGGGGAAGTCACCCTCACCCAGCAAAGCATTTATAATCCCCTGGAGCCAGCCTCGCGTCACCTCCCGGGAAGCCAGTACTAACCAGGAGGGACACGGGTCCAATAAACAAGTGGTCGCGTTCAGTCTGCCCAGAATCCTGTCCACGTCCTCAGCGGTCACAGGATTACCTCCATTTATTATGGATCCTGTGACCTCAGGGGTCACAGGATCCATAATAAATGAATGGATATGTTATAAGTAAATTTTTATGGCAAGATGATTTTGAATTTTATTTCAAACTTCTACAATATTAGCTGTCCCACCCAATTTTGTTTTACTTGCAAATATGAAAAGCATAAAATTGATCTGTTTGTCATTAGTGAACATATTGAAGAATAATGGATCTAGGAGCAAACTCTATTACATGAATATCTTGAACATCTCTTGGCCAGATAGTTGGGAAACCACTGATTAATATATTTGGAGTATGGTTTTGGAGCCAGCTGTATATGTACTTCATTGTACTCAAGACAATGATTGCTTTATGTTCAGATAGATTTGTATAAATACGTTTTTAAGCAATATAAGCTACTGGCAATTACCACATCTTAAAGTAATGAAAGTATGTGCAGGCACTATAAATTTCTTTTCATCTTTCTTGAATCTGTCATTTTTCAATCTCGTGGGATTGTCTTGTGTCTTTTGTAGTTCCTCTGCGGTATTTGATAGTAAGCACTAGAAATGATTGATGGCTTTTCTCATGATTGTAGCTTTTATTTCCATTGCTAATGTGTTGGGAGTAGAGAAATCCTTCAACTTGAATACTGTAAAGATACATTGAGAAATGGGTTGAAAGCTTGTTACTGAAGCAGGCAGGCAAATAAACTTTTTAAATTAG